GAAATGGGGGGTTTTAGGGATGATGAGCAGAGGGAGAGCAGCACTGAGAAAGCCAGCTGTGGGAAGCAGGACAGACTGTAACAGGCAGCAGAGGGGACACAGGCATGGGGAGGGAAAGATAAATATGTACAGAGATGTTCAAACAAAAGCAAACAGCCTTTTACCAAGGACACATCTTTTACCTGAGAAGCAGCCATTGGGTCCTGGTCGGGGTCTGTGATGTTTCCTCAGGTGACACTATGTTGAGGAGTCACAGCCTGTTAATCAGCTCACTTCACACTCACAGTCAGAAGGACCTGGAAATGAGGAAAAGGCAACACCTCCTGTCCTTGGTCACAGGAGAGAGTGAGGAACAATGAGCTCCTAGATGGAGACCACACTGTGAAATTTTGAATATGTGTCTTCATGTGTCTCTCCTCCCAAAGACTTCCACAACCTCCTACAGAAATGAGAATGTGAGCTGCTGTCCCGATGCCCCAAACAGAGGACCCCCTTACCTCCCTTGAACAAAGCTTGCTCCCCACTCACACAAAGGCATCCTGTAACCCTCATGCTAATCCCCATTCTCACCTGGAGGCCCTCAGTCACCAATGATGCCCCACCCAGAGCAGCTGTCCAACTCCATGGGGGAAAGCCCACCTGAGGGTATTTCTAAAAGCTCCTCAGGGGATCTGGGAAAACCCAGAGAATTTATCTCAGGATGCTTTTAAATAATAAATTAGGTGTCAGACATAGAAAAAGTAAATCCATGGAAGCAGCACACACACACAGAGAGAGACACAAAACACCACAGCAACAAAGCTAAGGCTTCTAATATTCCGTGAAAAGGCATCAGGTGGTGACAAACCCAGGTCACCTCCTCGTTGCCATCCGAGGAATGACACATGAGCAACAGACAAGTCTCTCCCCTCTGAGTGAATAGGAGTTGCAATTGGAAGCAAATTATTATAAAAGTAGAGGCCTGGTGTATGAAATTCATGCGGGGTGTGCGGGAGGGGGTCCCGAAGCCTGACCTGTACCCTCTCCAATCCGGGATCCCTTGGGGGATATCTGACTGCTGGTTTAGGCCGGAATTCTATTGGATTCGGGCCTAAACGGGCAGTCGGACATACCTCTCGCAAGCCGGGACCTCTGGCTCCTAACTGTACACCTGCATGCCTGCCCTAACCACTGTCCTTACCTGCCTGATGCCCCTAACTGCCCTCCCCTGCTGGCCTGATCCCCATAACAGCCCTCCCCGACCAGCTTGATCCCCGTAAATGTCCTCCCCTGCCGGCCCAGTCAACCCCTAAATGTCCTCCCCTGATGGCCTGGTTGCCCCTAACTGCCCTCTCCTGCCAGCCTGATCCCCCTAACTGCCCTCCCCTGCTGGCCTGATCCCCATAAACACCCACCCCTGCTGGCCTGATCCACCTAAATGCCTCCCTGGCCAGCCTGATCCCCTTAACTGCCCTTGCCTGCCAGCCTGATCCCCAGAATTGCCCTCCCCTGCCAGGCCATATTGACTCTACCTGCTCTCCCCTGCCACCCTGGTCACCCCTAACTGCCCACCCTTAATGGCCTGATCCCCCTAAATGCCCTCATCTGCTGGCCTGTTCAACCTAATTGCCCTCCCCTTCCGGCCTGGTTGCCTCTACCTGCCCTCCCTGATCTGCCTGATCCCCCTATATGCCCTCCCCAGGCAGAACTGGTCGCCCCTAACAGCTTCTGACCAGCCCCCTGCCACAGTGGAAATGTACAGAAGGACGTCCAGATGGTTGTCCAA